TGATCTTAATAGAGGCCTCAGATCTCTCGTCATAGCAGAACAAGCAAAGTCTTCCATAACTCTAATATTCATAGATGGGTCATCAAAGCCTTAGGTCAGTTTGCTTATGTAAAATTCAACTTAAGACTATAATAAAAATACCTCAAGTACCTTTCGCACAGGACAGTTCAAGCTTCTATCTGTGGGTGGGTGGGGTCACTTTTTTTTTTAATTGTATGTTTTATTTATTTACATTTCAGATGAATCCCCTTTCCCCATCCTCCTCAGAAGCCCCCTATCCCAACCCCCCTCCTCCTTTTTGCTTTTATACCATTTGAATTACATGCAAGTATCAAGGTCAGTTCTAGGTTGAGAACTAGCAATATAATAGATACAAATAGTCAAGGAACAAGCAAGACAATAAACAAATAGTCAAAGAACAAGCAAGGCAATGAACAAAGTTCTGTGAACACTCCCGTGATCACTGTTTCTAAGGACTTATCAGGATGACTAAAATATCTGAGCCTGCTTCTCTGTCCTAGCCCAAAGTCATTTTCATTTCTGAAGCTTACTTCCTGGTTCTAGCCTAAGATTTAGATTGCTCAGAGGTTAAGAGCACTGATTCCTCTTCCAGAGGTCCTGAGTTCAATTCCCAGCAACCACATGGTGGCTCCCAACCATCAGACAATGAAATCTGATGCCCTCTTCTGGCCTGTAGGCATACATGCAGGGCGAATGTTGTATACACTGTTCTTTTTAAAATAAAAATTTTATTAATTCTTTCAGAATTTCATGCAATATATTTGGATCATATTCACATTTTTTCTCAGCTCTTCCCATTTCTACTGTTCTTTCCTTCCTTCTTTCCTTCGTTCTTCCTTCCTTCCTTCCTTCCTTCCTTCCTTCCTTCCTTCCTTCTTCCCTTCCTCCCTTTCTTTTCTTTTTCCAGTTTGATCTAGCTCATGTTGACCAACTCCTCTTGGAAGTAGGACTTGTCCACTGCATGGTGGATTTATCAAGGTTCACAACCTTAAAGGAAATTGACTCTCTGTAGCTGTCAAATACCAATAGCTCTTCCGTTAGCGTTGGGCTTTTATGTCCCGCCTCTATGCTGAGATTCTGTCTGGCAGGAGGTTGTACAGTTTTTATACATGCTGTAACAATCACTGTGAGTTCATATGTATAACTGCCGTGTTGTGTCTGCACTGCTTCTGGCTCTAACAATTTTTCAGCTCCTCCTCTCCCCCACTTCCTTAAAGATAGCTGAGCTTTGATGGGAGGGATGTGATCATATACATTCTGTTTAAGGCTGACCACTCCTCAGTCTCTTGTTCTCCACACATTGATCACCTGAGGCTCTCTGTGTGCACTGCAGACTACTTCAAGGTGAAGCTTCTGGAATGAGGTTGAGAGTCAAGGAGAAGCTTCTGGAATGAGGTTGAGAGTCAAGGAGAAGCTTCTGGAATGAGGTTGAGAGTCACTGTCATCTCCCATTGTTCTCAGGCATAATGTAGAATGGCTACAATCATTTCTCAATCAGCTTTCTTAGGATGTTCTTACCTATTTGTGTGTGTGTGTGCGCGCACACATGTTTGCGTGTGCACATATACGTGCAAATGCACATGCATATGTGGGTGTGCATGCACATGCAAGTGCAAATGGAGGCCAGAAGACAGCCTCTGCTGCTATTTCTTTATTCTGCCAAGCTTTGGTTCTTTTTGAAGCAAGACTCAGAACTTCCTGCCTGGGCTAGGCTGCCTGGCCAACAAACCCCGAGGTCTGCTGTCTGCCTTCCCAGTGCTGGGATCACAAACCCACATACCATGCCTGACTTTTCTTGCTTTAAAAAAGTAGGTTCTGGCGATTAAATTGAGGCCTCTATCCTTTAAGGCAAGTATTTCAACAACTGAGCCATCTCCCAACCCCACCTCACCTGTTTTCTATGATTTCCAACGACTCCATGAGATCTCTGTCACTGTCCTGTTTGGAAGACAGAAGCACCTAGAGCTGAAATGGTACAGATGCCAGATTCTGCCATCTCTGGCCCTGTTGAAATGACATACCAACTCCCTTCTTCTAGTGGGATCATGAAGAACCATCTAGCTTTTCCCCCACCTTATTTTGCCCTGTGTCACTTCTGGGATCAACGACACTAGAAAGCAAAAGCACCAGACTTAGTGTGTGAGGATGTAGAGTAGGAAACACATGGAAGAAATGTCACATGTTTCTTGTAACAAAAGAAATATAAATGTTCAGTGGGCAGGAATGGAGTGAATGGTTGATGCTGGCAGGTCGCTGATGCTCACCGAACATCATAACACACAGATGAATAGGGGATCTGAATTGGGAGATGCCACCCTTGTCAGAGCACTCTATTGTCCTGCAGGATGACAGTAAGAGAAAGGGGACAGAGAGTCAGGGCAACTCTGAAGTGGCTCAGTTCCCCAGAAAGTGAGAGAGTCAGAGGAGGGAGAGGGACTGAGCATGGGGGCTGTGTTAGAAAGTCATGTCTGAAAGTGTGAAAGTCAAGAATAGGATGCTGAAGATAGCAAGCAAGCATTGCCCCTCCCCTCACCTCTCCCACCCCCGGACTGCAGCGCGACATGGACATCTCCACAAGCATGGACACAGATGATCATGTCTGAAGATGGTACATGACTAAATGTGTGTTGTGTGGATGGCAGTGTGAACAGGAGCCAAGATCCAAGGCCATAGCCTGCCTGATGCTTCCTGACAGACAAAGGGAAGGAAGGAAGGAAGGAAGGAAGGAAGGAAGGAAGGAAGGAAGGGAGGGAGGGAGGGACAGAGAGGGAGGAAAGGGAGGAAAGGGAGGAAAGAATATGTGATTTTTGATTCACTAGGGCATGCTTGACAAGGATGTGACTTCTCAGTGCAGTCACTGTGTGAATCTGGAGACTACTTAGCCTGAGACCTCCAGAGACAGGCTGACCCAGAAAAAACCCAGAGATCTTTTGTGAGCCTGTGAAACATGTTAACCACAGTTATGTCTGACTAAACACCCTACTTGATCGCTTTTCCTGCTTGCTAAACTTGAATTTATTCAATGGCTTAATAACATTGAGAACTATGAGGTAAAAAAAATCTTAAAATCTCTAAACAGGATTTATATTAGTAAATAATGTTGGAAAAAAATGTTGTTGTCCCAGCACTTAGGAGTCTGAGGCAGGAGGATTTCCATGATTTTGAGGCCAGCCTGGGCTATAGAGTAACACCTTATCTCAAAACAACACAAGAAAAGACAGTGGAGTTACTGTTTTCATCCTGTGCACGTCTTTTATGTATCACCAGGGACTGAATTATGTTCTACCCTCCTGGTAGATGCTTTGAGCTACTCTCTCACATGAAGAAACTGAGACTGTGAGGATCTAAGCTGATTTGTACCAAGTCACAGTGTTGGACACAAAATGGAAGCCTTTTCCAGAAGCATTTATTTATATGTAGTGCAGTGCTGGAGATGGAACCCAGGGCTTCCTGCACACCAGGCAAGTACTCTACCACTGAGCTAAATCCTGAGCCTGAGACCCAACCTTTCAAACCTAAGTCCCAGACTCTCTCCTTCCTGCACATGGACTTGTTTCTGACCTAACCATGTGTGGAGCTGGTCACTTTTTAGCATAGCATACACAGTGGAGGCTCAGCACTTTCAAATGGACATGGTGTCTAAGACATTTTGAGTCACCCAACCAGCAGGGAAGCCTTAAAAGTAAGACAGGGGTTTTCAGTCCTGGAGAATGGTCTCTTGCTGTTCACGAGGCATGGCCCAAGTCTACAGAACAGTCTAGTCCTTTATACCTGTTCCATATACAGGAATGTAAGTTAGATTGACTCTAGAAGGTGTGTGGTGAATCAGAAGACTTGGGGCAGAGGATTCTTAGAGATTCTGGAAGATTAATGATTCAGGCAGAAAGAAGACACCTATGATGGAAGCAGCAATTAAAATCTGTTAGATATTCAAGCAGAAGGCGTTGTGCTAAGCATATCATAAATAGGACTTCAACAATATGAAGAGATTCTCTCCCTTGATAAAGCTTGATAAAGGCCTGTGCTGGTTAGTGTTTGTCAACTTGACACAAGCTACAGTTACCTGGGGAGAGAGAACCTTAACTGAGATAAACTGTATCCATCAAATTGGCCTGTAGAGAAATCTATGGGGTGTTGTCTTGATTGGCAATTGATGTGTGAGAGCCTAGCTCACTCTGGATGGTGCTTCCCATCGGGGAAGGTGGTCCTGAGTTGTATAAGAAAGCAGAGTTAGTATGCATCATTTCCTTTATGACCTCTGCTTCAGTTCCTGCCTCCAAGTTCCTGCCCTGCTTGAGTTCTTGTTATGATGTCCTCACTGATAGACTATAAGCTTTAAAATAAACCCGGTCTACCCCCAGTTGCTTTGGAGCATGGTATTTATCACAGTAATGGGAAGCAAATTTCCATGGAGGAAATAAGACTGCAAGGCAAGCAATGATAACCAAGGCAGAATGTGTTGAGTGTTGTAAGGTGCACACTCTTCATAAACGCTATGGGAGTTAGAAGAGCGATTGTGTAAGTAGCTAGAGACTAAGGGGAATTTCAAGAGGAGAGAGGTAGGTAGGGTGTGAGCATTGAGGGATAAGCAGGGCTCTAGAGCTCTCTTACATTGGGATTGTCCATTTGCTACAAGGAAATATCTTAGGTAGGATCTAGGCTCCTGGTAGCCTCTCTTTAATGATGGCCTAGAGGGTTCTGTCTGCCTGGCCAGGTGCCAGCACATTGTTCAGCGTTTGTCTTCTCTAACATCGACTTCTAGTTGTTCTAATGGAATGCATCTAATAGGCCAAATCACTTTTGCTCCCCAGAACAAAACATTCAAGACACCAAGGCAAATGCTTTGCTGTGCCCTGCTCCAGATGCCTGCCAATTCGAGCTGGAGAAGAGCAGCGAGTTGCCAGGCCACTCCCACCAGGGTGCCCGAAGAGAATATAAAGCTGGAACTTGAGGCTAGCCAGTAGCTGGAAGCCCTCCCAACATGGGCTGCCACGCCCGCCTCCTTTGGCTGCTGTTCTTCCACGCTGCGATTCTACCTGAAGCAGGTATATAGCTAATGCCCCAGGGTTCTGTACACAGCTAAAGCCTTGTGACAGACTGGAGAGAGAAAGTGTGGTTTTGTCTCTTGTCCTCTGATGCACCAGCTTAAATTTAAGTCAACACAAAGGGAGCAATTACTCTGTTTGACATAATCTGACCTCTGTTGACTGCTGCTGTGATCAGCCGCACATCTCCTTGATCCGGTTTATGGATGTTGAGTCAAATGTCTTATGAAAGATCTGTTTTCTGTGAACAAAGCATCAGTCAATTTATTGTTTTCATGGACTGTGGCTCTGTTTTTAGGCTTCTGGAGGGAAATATAGAAGGGCTACTGGCCAAGATGAGCCAGCAAAGACTGTGAAGTCTTCTTTGGTTCATGTGCTCAAGTTTTGACGTTTAGCACTCACCAAGAGTATTGAATTATAGTTGGTATTTCTTTTCTAGTGTTGAACAGATCTGGAAAATTTCAATAAAACAGCCTAGCTTGAAATATTTGATATGACACAAAATTACCTGGACTTGACTTGTAAAGATTTCTACTCTGAAAAATCTGTACTTTATAAAAACCAGATTGAACCAGATTGAGCCCTTTGCTATTCTTGGTTTTAATGTATATTCTCTACTGGTCTGCTTAGGGAAGTTTTAATTTCATTTTAAACTAATTTGAAACATTTACATAATCTTGATTATTTTTATCATTGTTTAGTGGCTTTGGGGGAAAATGTTAAAGTCTTTTATTGCTTAATTTTCTTGCTTGAGTATAGATAAGAAGGTAAACAAATGACTATTTGAAAATATTCATAATTTCATAATGAATTCAAAAATTCAAAACAAATAACTTGATTACAAATAATTGTATGCATATATTTATGCAATATTCCTAGTGTTTAAAAAACAGTTAAGTTGTACTGGAGCATAAGGAACAATGTAATAATTTCTTGGGTGCTTTATGCTTTCTTTTGAATCTACATGTCCTATAATACTTGAGCCTGGGAATACAGGTTAGAGACGTAACAATCTAGTGGTGTTTCTCAATCTGTTGGTCTCGACCCTTTGGTGGTCAAACAACCCTTTTGCATGGTAAACCACAGATGTTTACATTATGATTCATACCAGTAGCAAAATTATAGCAATGAAAATAATTTTATGGTTGGAGTCACCACAACATGAGGAACTGTATTAAAGGTTCACAGTGTCAGGAAGGTTGAGAACCACCACTCTAGAGCCTTCAAGACCTAACAAGAACTTTCTAGTCTTAGGAACTTGAAACAAGCTTTGAATCCTCATGCTGCTGTGCCCTCTCCTACAAAGGGACATGACATATGAGATTATTAGGTAGATTAATGAAGTGTTAGTAAAAGACTTTGAAGGGTCCCTCAGACACAGGAAGTGCTCAGTCAGTCTAATTGCTTCTATAGACACCGTGGATTCCAAATTGTACATCTTAAATGAAGAGGTAAAATTATTGAATCTCAGAGTCCCTTAGCCTTGAGTTCTCTATTTTCCAAGTCTCTTAAGAAATTGGGATAGTCCCTCATTTCAATATTTCAGTAGCTCTTTCCTTTTCCTTTTTTCTTTTCATTGTATGTTTGTGTCCCTGTGTGGGTGCATGCACCTGAGCACACTCCCCAGAAACTAAAAGAGAAGTAAGATCCCCTGGAATTAGAGTTACAGTGGCTGTGAGCAGCTCAGTGCATGTGCTGGAAACCGAACTCTGGTCTTCTGCAGGACTAGCATACTCTTAACCTCAGAGTTACTTCCCCAGCCCCTCAGTAAAAATTCCCAAGTAATAGATTCAACTTTCCAAATACAGAAAAAAAGGAGCTTCTCTTTCTTCCTCCATGAATAGGAAGCTGCATATGTAAACACTGGGGACCTATGAACTCTGCCAATGCTCTGCGGAACGTTTGGAGTTCCCTGGCACATGAGAGCATTTGGAGTGTTCTGCGAGAATGCAGAGTTCTAGCCAATCATTCTGGCTCCACTGTGGAAAAGATGATGCTGAGGTTGATCTCATTCAAAGTGACAGTGCTGGCTTTGGGGATGTCAACCAAAGCCTGGGTGAGCATGACTCCTGGTCCAGTCCAGAAGGCACCCCAATAAGATCTGCTCCTAGCCACAGCTGGGGCTGCTCTGGGGAAGTGCGCTTGGGGTATGGCCAGGCCTGTTTGGAATTGAGTGTAGAAAGGATTTAGCATGGATACAGGGGTGGGAAATAGAAAGATCTCAGTCTGGGACAAGTGTAACGGTTTTTGAAGGCCTCAGGGTCGGGGTGGGGAGTGGTTATCTTAAGAATGTATTCTGGAAGCTCCCTTATAAAACAGAGAACAGAGTGGGTCCTCCATGGAAGAATCAACCATGGTCCTGGTCCTAACTTCCCCTGAGCCCCACCTCTTGTCTTACTGAAACTCAAGTCCTTAACCTGGTCACAGCTCTCCTCTCTGCCTGACCTCTATCCTCTTTGGTGTTGGCTGACCTCCTGCTCACTGCTCGAGCTGTCTGCCATGTTCAGCAGAACACACTGTTCTTCTGTGGCCCCACGCTGCAGCATAGCACCCGGCACCACTGAGGCCTGCTTAGTACTTGGAGAAAAGGAATGGAAATCAACGAGTAAGAGTATGGACCCCCTCTGCCCACAAGCTTCTCCAAAAACAAAAATAAGAGGATTATATTTTTTTCTTTCACCCATGTTCTGCAAATACAAAGATAATTAATCTGGTAGACACTTCTTGCAAATCTTGGTTATCAGTGGGGCTGTTTTCCCCTAGCCCTGGTGCCTCCTTTATCTCGGTGCCCTCGCAACCTTCCTGTCCCTGTCCATACTCTTGCCACACCTCTCCACTGAGATGTTTATGTCATTCTACAGCTTTCAGGTGGAGGGGTGGGGGCTGAGGGGCTTGAGCTTCCAGGAGCCAAGGATTAGTGACAGGATATGGTGCAACAGGCTTTGCCAGGCTCCTGGCAATTGCACAAGAGTCTAACAAACAATGGGGCCAGTGTGACCTTCTAAGAACAACTACCCTGGGAGGTAGTGCAGCTCCCTGAAGGTCACTTAACCATAGAAGGGATTTGTGGGACTTGTAGATCACTGGAGCCTTGGATATTACTGGGGCAGTTCACATGAAAGATGCAAAGGGCAACTTGGTGGCTCCTAAGAAGGCTATTGGAGATATAGTGTAGGCCAGTTCTAACACAGGGGGAAGTCTCTGCTATTGATCTCACGTGATATCCGGTAACATGCCTAGCTTTTGAGTTGATGGAAGTTAGTGGTCTGCTGAGACTATTTTCCAGGGATTGTCTGATGTTCAAAAAGGATGTTGGATCAAATGCATAAGGTAGGTGATAGATGGCTGTTGAGGGGATTAAACCTAGTTCAAAATAATTTTTTTTGTTTTGTTTTTTGACGGAGTTTCTCTTTATAGCCCAGGCTGTCCTGGAACTCATTCTGCAGACCAGGCTGGCCTCGAACTCAGAAATCCACCTGCCTCTGCCTCCCAAGTGCTGGGATTAAAGGCTTGCGCCACTCAAAATAATTTTGATCTTGGATCTTTAGACTATTTCAGTCATGAAGTTCTAGCCAGCCTTGTTACACTCTTCAGCACAAGTGCCTTTATTTTTCTGAAAGTTTCAGTTCCCAACACTTTCCAACTGAAATAGGGAAAGTCTCTACAAATCTTGTTGTGATCAACTGATACTTCTTCCACCTGTGCATCTGAAGGATGCCTGCCCTGCTGTCCCATGGACCTCTGGTTAAATGCTAAGCGAATGTCACACTGCCCTGCTGAATGCAATGAGGATCTGAGATACAAATACTCTCAGTCACACTACCAAACACTCACGCGTACATTCACAACACAGGTAGGATTATTATCACTGTGGTGAAACACCATGACCAAAAGGAGCTTGGGAAGGAAAAGGTTTATTTCACCTTAGAATTCCACATCACAGTTCACCATTGAAGGAAGTCAGGGCATGAACTCAAACGGGGCAGGAACCCTGGAGGCAGGAGACCATGCAGAGATCATGGAGGTGTGTTGTTTTACTGGTTTGCTCCTCAGGGCTTGCTCAGCCTGGTTTCTTAAAGGACCCAAGACCACCAGCTCTGGGATGGCACCATCCACAATGGGCTGGGCCCTCCCACATCAATCACTAATTAAGAAAATGTTCTACAGATTTGCCTGCAGCCCCATCTTACAGGGACAAGTTCTCAGTCAATGTTCCCTTCTCTCAAATGATTAGCTTATGTCAAGCTGACATTACTAGCTAGTAGGCCCACTAGCATGTGTGTGTGTGTGTGTATGTGTGTGCACGTGCACACACATACACACACTCACCATCTATCTATCTATCTATCTATCTATCTATCTATCTATCTATCTATCTTTCAAACCTGTCCACACGCCTCTCATGTATATTTATGTCCATTCACCCACATTCTCATACTTGTTCATACATACTTTAATTCATTCATTCACATGTACACATCACAAGTTCACTTTCACCATATGCAGCCATTCACACATATTACACACAACCAACCTGCTTCAAACACTTTCCCCCTATTCCTGCTCTAAAGAAGGCCCGTTGTCCTCATCCACTCCTCCTTCCCAAGGTATCCACTATCTCCATGCCCAGTCCTCAGATCTTCTCTCATCCCTGGCTCCTCAACTCATGTTTCCAACAATAGTCCAAATCAAACAGGAAGACCCCACCTTTCCCCACTGCTGGCTGCCCTGGAGTTCTGTAGAGGAGGGGTGGGGACAGCTTGAGGCTGGGGGCATGTAGAGATGCAGCATGCCTTACTTAAGATTGGGAGATTGTCAGTTCTCCATATGAAAGACTGGGAGCTGGTGTACCTCGGTGGTAGAGTACATTCTTGGCCTGCATATGGCCCTAGGCTCAGACCCCAGCAACAGCACCCATTTCTCCATACAAAGACTACAGCTAGACCTTGTGGTGACCACCTGTGTAAGTCCGGGGCCAGTCCAGGCTTTATAGTGAGAAACTGACTCAAAGAGCAAGATAACAGACAGCAGTTGGCTTAATCCTCCCTGCTAGGACCCTCCTCGAAAGTCACCTTTTCTCCACAGCCAGACTCTGGCCAAGTGGTCATAGACCCTCACTCTCCTCACCTCCTAGCCCTATCCTACCCCTATCTCTCTCCTGGCATTGTTCTTTTGAGGGGAAGATGGACCCTAGCCTTTATTTTCTGAGCCAATGGCACCAGTCTGGCTAGTGTCTATGAGCTCAGCCATTGGTTCTTCCTGTGGCCTATCTCATCTTAGGCTGGCCCTTCTAATCACTTACCCCTAGTGGTTCAGTCTGCTTCCTGACCTGTGGCAATCATTTCTAATATGTAACCCATCCAGGCCTCTAGATTTTCCTGTGTCTGACACCCCAAGCACAGGCTCCAGCCCTGTGGCTGCACTCTGACTCTTCCTTGTCCCTCCTCTTAGTTGGCCAGTCCCATCACTGCCCTCACACTCAACACCTTTCCCATCCTGCCTCACGTCCTGACAGTTCTACTCAACATGCCATGGATCACGCTGTGTATTTTCAGCAAGCAGCTCATCCCACTTCACAGCCTTAGGAAGTGTGTTTAAAGGATATGATTAAGTATTGCCAGGGACAAAGTGGCCGTCTTTCCCCATTCTCATGTATGCAAACATCCTAACTGGGATCCCAGGTTTGGTAATGAGCAAGAGAAAAGTGAGGTCCATTATGCAGCATGAAAGCTGCAATCGAAGCTGCCTCTTTTGGTGACTCAGTTGCTTGGAAGCTTCTTGGGTGTCACCCCCATGTCCCTCAGGCCACTGGATCACTGATTATCACAAGAAGTGAATGATGCCTGCATGGCTATTGTCCCCAGAAGCTTGGCAATCAGCCTTCCTGTCTCAGGGAGCGTAGCAAAGAGCACCTGTTTTACTTGGGTTAATCTCTACCACCTCAAGCAGTTTGTCGACAACCATCTAGAACCGCAGCCTCTGCCTTAGGGTTGGCTGTGTCTAAATGGCCGTGTTCAGATGTGGGAATTTTAATAGTTCAAGAGAAGGGCTAGAGGTGGACAGAATGAGGCTTCTTTCTGAGATAAAGAACAACCCACCAATAAGACAGGAGCTGGGAAGGGAGCTATGGTCTAACTACAGAGGGGTCTTGAATTCAAGCTAAGAACTTTGATCTTTATCTAATTGACAATTAGGACCTAGTATAGTTATTAAAATGATGCTAACATGGCTTTTTTGGGAGTGGATGAGTAAGCAGGTGACGTGGACTAGAATGGAAGACAAATTAAATTTCGGAAAGTGAAAGAATGACAGCAGGCACGCACCCATTCACACATATACACACATGCACACACACAAGCACACACACATGTACATACACATATACACATGCACACACACATACACACATGGGAGCATATGCACATGTACACACATATACACACATACACACATACACGCATACACGAGTGTGCACACATGCATGTACACACATACACACCTCTCCTTACTCTGGATGGCCATGTTTTTATACAACAGCAATAGAGACCTTTTCTTCTTTTCTTTCTTCCTCCCTCCCTCCACTCCTTCCTCCCTTTCTTCCCTCCCATGACCACCTATTCCAGGTCACCTTGCTGGGCCTAATCAGCACACACTACATGGTTTCTAATGTGATGCTGGGTATATAATTCTTTCAAAATGCTGAGTCTGGGTTTGGCGGCACACTCTTTCAATCCCAGCAATTAGGAGGCAGATCCCTATGATTTCAAGGCCAGTCTTAAAATCAGAAACAGGTCAGCCAGGGCTACATAGTGAGACCTTGTCTCAAAAGAGAGATACACAAAGATTTATTACTATTAATGAAAAGTAACTGGTGCCAGACATGATGACACACACCTGTAGCCTCATCCCTCAGGAGGCTGAGGCAGGATATTAAGTTAGAGGCTGTCCTGGAGATTCACACTGAGACACTGTCTCAGCCAGGGTGGGGAAGACTAGATAAATGGAAGACCTGACCTGATGTAGTAGACTGTGGGGTCAGGGAGGAGTCAAAGCCAGGCCATGGATCGTGAACAAGACGAAGAAGGTGCTAGGGAGGCCAGGTGCTGCCAAGGCTGACGTTCCTCCAGAACCAAACAAGGGCACGGCCTCCTGCCAGCTGTGGGTCTGGGGCTGCCTCCTGCCAGCCGTGGGTCTGGGGAAGTTTCTTGGCTCTGTGTGTCCTAAGTTTCTTATCTGTGAAATGAGAATGGAAATGATGGTAGAATCTTTTTAAGTCAGCTCAGAATAGGGAATCGACAGTGCTTTGACCCCAGGGGGCTCCCCATGAGCATTGAATAAGGCCCAGCAGTTCCAACTCTGGACTCCCAGGGGCTTTAGGCAGCTCTGCTGTCTCGTCTTGCTGCCAAACTCATACCTCTGCTCAGTGGCCTGTATATTACCTCATCTGGTTATTCGTCTGTGAAGAGGACAAAATGACTGGGTCACTTGACGAATTCCAGGGCATTATCAATGTCAAAGCACATCGGGCACACCTAACAGACGGCTGGTAATTAATTAGGCTATTGTAAAAGTAACCTGACCTAAAAGCACAATAGGACTGGGTTCTTGGTTGTCTACTGAGCAGGAAGTCACCTTCCAATGGCTACAGCAGAGATATGGGCTGAGTGGCAGATAGATTCACCAGGGGGGTTGTTGTGGGGGACAGTCTTGGCTTGCAATTAATGGTGTTAGAGAAAAGTTATTGCTTTTGTTCATGAAGAACAATGAAGTAGTTTAAAACAAAACATCAACAATAAAAACAACCCTGCCATATTTATTCTGAGTAGTAGCCAAATATCTTCTTATTAACCAAATCAGACAGGAGCCTGATATAGCTGTCTCCTGAGAGGCTCTGCCAGAGCCTGGCAAATACAGAGGAGGATGCTCACAGCCAACCATTGGACTGAGTACAGGGTCCCCAATGGAGGAGTTAGAGAAGGGACTAAAGGAGCTGAGGGAGTTTGCAACCCCATAGGAAGAACAACAATATCAACCAACCAGACCCCCCAGAGCTCCCAGGATCTAAACCAACAACCAAAGAGTACACATGGAGCAACAGATGGCTCCAGCTGCATATATAGTAGAAGATGGACTTGTCCGGCATTAGTGGGGGGAGAGGCCCTTGGTCCTGTGAAGGCTCGATGCCCCAGTGTAGGGGAATACCAGGGCTGGGAGGTGGGAGTGGGTGGGTGGGGGAGCACCCTCATAGAAGCAGAGGGAGGGGGGATGGGATAGGGGGTTTCTGGAGGGGAAACTGGGAAAGGAGTTAACATTTGAAATGTAAATAAAGAAAATGTCCAATAAAAGAAAAGAAAAAAGTTCTAAGAATGCAATGTAAATGGCAATAATGTATATCCATTTTTTGGAAAGTAAAATTACAAAATTTTATATGAAACAAAACAAAACAAAAACCAGGACCAGACCTTTAATCCCAGTACTTGAGAGGCAGAGGCAGGCAGATTTTGTGAATTCAAGTCAGTCTGTTTTGCATAAGGCCAGCCATGGCCGTATAGTATGACATCATCATATGAAAGAAAGGAAGAAGCAAAGAAAGAAAGAAGCAAAGAAACAAAGAAGCAAATGATGAAACGAAGAAAGAAAGAAAATTTAAAAAACAATTTATAATTAGGAAAAACAACCATAAAGATCTTTCCAAATGAAAAAGGATAATAAAAATTCTATAAGAATAGATGTATTTTTAAGAAAGAAAAAAATTGTTTTAAAAAGCCAGTGCAAGAAATGTTAGGAACATGGAATTAACTAAGAGCATAGTAGAATTTATTTACTTCCTTAAAGAAAATACATCAGCCACAGACAGCTATTGAATCATAAGGAAGTATACTGGCTGACCCATTGTTAAAATTACTGAAATTAACACAGAAATGATAGCAAGGAGAATTTTAAAACCAAGTATACTGCAAAGCAGAAGCTTAAGGAAAATAGGTTTCAGGGCACCTGATGCTTTCCCGTTGACAGCCCTGCTTTCCCATAGATAGCCCTGCTTTCCTGTAGATAGCTCTGCTTTCTCACAGATAGCCCTGTTTTCCCATTGACAGCCCTGCTTTCCCGTAGATAGCTCTGCTTTCTCATTGATAGCCCTGCTTTGGGTAGCTGCAAATTTAGATCCCCATGCCTTGGTCTGCTGTGCCTGGGGATTGATGGATTTGGAGCAAAACCCAGGAGGTTTCCATGAGGCCTGGGTTAGCTGTGTTCAGGGTCCCTGCAAGTCTCTGACATGACCGGTGTATCTCAGTTTGCTACAGGAAGGACATCAGAGGATCCAGAGCAAGGCTGGGGAAGGAAAGGCCTAAAAGAACCTTCATCCAAGACATGTCTGAGGAACAGCAAGAAGGTAAGTCCTAGCCAGACAGTGCCCGTGGCCTACAGAAGGAAGGGGGAAAGGAGGAAAGGAACATTGAAATGAGAAGACACTAAAGCCCCCAGGGATAGACAGTCCACACTCAGGTAGGATGAATCTCTCATCCTCAGATGTAAACACACCCCAATATTTTTTGTGCCTAACGAAACAGAGATACTGTCAGAGGCTTCCCTGCATCCTTGGTTCTTACGCATTAATCATGAAGAGTGTTCTTAAATGGTGAAGCACATGACAATCACTCTAGAACCTGTAGAACGTGCAAAGTCTTGGGTCTTACCCTTAGACAGGTGTGTACCCCAGAAGTCCATATTGAACAAGTTTTCTCAGAGATGGAAACAGGGCCTATCCAAGGGCCACACTTTGAAACTCTGCTCTCTGGTGACTGGAAAGAGGAGAGCTACCAAGAGAGCATTCCCCTCCCTCCCCCATCACAGCTTTCCCTCAGCAGTTTTGGGAATGCCTAACAGCCCTCATCTATCTAACTATTGGTTCATAAAATGGAGATAATAGCAATTGTTCCTGAGCATCCCCCTGTGACAGGCACTACACCTGCATTTGGCTCACGCTCACCCTTTAAGGTGTGCACTGTGTTCTTCTGCAGACAAGGAACACAGAATCTAAGTGGCCCCACATACACTGCATAGCTAGCGGCTGACCCAGCTGAACCCCATTTTTGGTTGTTTTCTATCCACCCTCCTAGGAAAGCTTGCTGTTCCTGAGAGCCCTGGGAGAGCCAGCGGGCTGCTGCCTAGCAAAGTGCTGGCAGATAAAACTGGGAGTGCTGGGTGCCAGCAGAGGGCAGCATGCACTCTGTATGCATTCACCAAGCATTTGCCTTTCCCCAGCACCACAGGGCACAGTGGAAATAACCCAGGAATCCAAGTCTTACACTGAAATACCAAGCAGGCAATCTGGACAGTTTCTGTCTTCTTAGATGAAGATTTCCTTGCTGGAGTGGGTGGCGGTTGGGACACAGAATGAAAAATGATTGAAAGGACAAAGAAAAGCCCTGTGGCTTTCCCCTCCCAGCAAAATCTAAACTTGTTTATGAATAAATAGTTCTATTCCAAATGAGGACTTTAGGGAGATCTATGGGTCCCATTCTGGTTCTCATTAGCTAATGCTCTGACACTAGGAAGCTGATGCTACTGTCACCCTTTCCTCCCTGGTATAATGGGACAATGCCCCTTATAAAGATGTCCATGTAAAACAGCAGTTCTCAGGTAGTGGCTCATGATCTCCACAGGGGTCAAATATCATATATTCTGCATATCAGATATTTACATTATGATTTATTACAGTAGCAAAATTACAGTTGTGAGGTAGCAACAAAATAATTTCATGGTTTGGGGTCACCACAAAAGGAGGTACTACATTAAAGAGTCACAGTATTAGGAAGATTAAGAATCACTGTAAAGGATTCAACCAAGTGCTGGGAACATGGGCGGGACTTCCGGGAACCTGGTGGGGAAGTGACTGTCTTCACCAACACTCAAGTGGGGTTGGGGAACCTTTCTCCCAAAGACTGGCTTCCCGTGCAGCTCGTGGAAGGTTCTAGCAGGTGTTCTGGCCGAGTGGAGGTGTATTTTGAAGGTGTGTGGGGCACAGTGTGCGACGATCTGTGGGACAAGAAGGAAGCACAGGTCGTGTGCCAGCAGCTGGGCTGCGGGGATGCCGTGTCCACCCTGGGAGAGGCCTATTTTGGCCAGGGCTCTGGCTCCATTCTTCTGGATGACGTGCAGTGTTCTGGGACGGAGGTCTCCCTGGGGCAGTGCTCCCACGCTGGCTGGTTCATCCACAACTGTGGGCACGAGGAAGACATTGGTGTCATCTGCTCTGGTAAATTATTTTCCATCTTTTCCAATGGTTGATTTTTTACGTTATCCAATCATTTCCCTTTCTCCCCGACCGACCTAAAGGAAGCCTTTGTAACATTCTGTCATGTGGGATCGAATGTCCTGTCTGCTCCTGGTCCCGGGCACCTTCAGAATGACACTTGTGTGGTGCCTCTCCTTCATGGGGTTTGGGAAGCAGCCGGATGTGGCCTTTTATTCTACTCCAGTTCAACTGCATCCACTTAGGTTGCCAACGGTAACACTGGGAGGAGAACAGATGGGAAAGGAAAACACTCAGGCCAGCTGCAGAGTTATGTCATTTGTGGGTCCCAGTGTGAGAGCTATGACAAATTTCAGGACAGAGACAGCAGAGTGCCAAAGGATGGAGACCTTCAAATTGTGGGCCCTGAGGGATTACAGGAAGGCACCCCAGGGTAACCTTCTACTGGTGCTCTCCCCACACTCATCTCTCTGTGCTCGGTGAAGCTTTGTGTATCTCTAAACTTTTCTCTAATTAAATGGGAGTGATCGTTGTGATGGGAGTGACTGTGACTTACTACCCTGCCTTATAGCCTGAGAGCCAGGCTGCCAATAACATGGTCCCCAAAATCCTGCTTTGGGTAGAAATAAAGCTCCTGGAGACAGAGTAGATCTGCCTCTGCCGAACCAACTGTGGACGATAGCAAGATGCAGAGTTGGGTAAAAGGGAAAAGAAAGGCTCTATCCTTGTTCACCAGCTGCTAACTGGTGAGCCAGAGCCTGCTTCCCAGGTCTCCCCTGCTCATGTTCCACAAGATTCAACCTTCCAAGAAGCAGGACCCAAGGCTCCATCCACTGACCAGGAGTTAAATACTCCCCTAACAAGCATGTTCTGTGGAAGGCTTGCTCAGTTTAACAGTAAACATATCTCTGGCTCCATGGGATGAACCAATGGCCTTCTGCTCCTATCAGAAGTGGCATGTCATTCATGGTGACTGTAGATGTCATGAGTCCTGCCCTGGTCAGGGTCTTCCCCCTGTAGGGAATTTAGAGAGTCCTGATCCATGAAACTGCTATTCCTAAGGCTTCCCTCCAGCCTTGAGGAGAAAGATAGCCTTAGTTCCTCTCTTTATCCTCATTCTGAGGCTTGCTTTAAGGTTGAGCCATGCGACATGTTTTTGAAAGCGCTTCCCGTGAGCCCTCGGAGCTACTATGGGGGCAGAATTCACTCTGGGCAGCCTGGGTGGGCAGAAGGAGGACTTTGCTGCTCTCTCAGGCTGCACGCACTTGGACCAGGTACCTTTGGGGGTGGGGGAGGGGTACTGAGAACAGCCTAGTTAGCAAATTAGCACAAGCATAAGCCTTGCTTTGGGGGATTTTAAAGTCCTTCTCAAGTTTATCTTTCTGTGTTTGTTCTGAGCTAAAGGTGCTTTTGTGCCCTAGGAAGCATTTAGACATTTTGATCTTTACAGTGGGGGATGCCCCTGGTGTGTGTGGTAGCATCCATACATAGTTAAGCCCTCTACGATGCACAGGATGGCTCCCTCTTTCAAAGAATGTTCCAATACAAGATGGCAATAGTGCAGAAGGTTTAGAATCAAGCATATACAGATGGAGACTAGACTTCAGTAACTGGTTATAAATTGATAGTGCATTAATAGTTGGTTAATAATTACTTTCAAAGTGATGGAAATTGTCTACAACTCCTTATCCAAGTGTGAGCCTGGGCCCAGAGCTTCCGAACGATTTTCTCTGATTGTCTTTCTTACTGATTAAAGTTGATTAAGTTTGTCCTGTAATTTTTTGTAAATATGCTATTTTGGCGGATATGTTGAATAAGAATTTGAATCATAGCATGCCTTGTATTCTAAGGCCAGGAGTAACAGGTCTCTGACTGGTTTTGCCTGAGAGACTGCTTTGAAGCCTAAATCCTATCTGCTCATGTGGGTCTTTTCGATTCTCCATTTCCTATTCCATCTTTACCACTCAAGAGGGTTTGTTTTATTTTTCTTGTTTTGAAAATAAAGAAATCAAAATTAAAGGACAAATCAAGGTCAAGATAAATTCCTTCTTGACCAAGATCACCCAGCATATATGTGGACCTGAGGTGTCCAAACCTAATGCCCCATTTCACCACCAAATATGTCTACAGTTTGGAGAAGATGTCATGAACCTTAGGAAAATGTGTAAGCATTCACAGTTGTCTTTGTTGCTCTGCTAGGTGTCTCATCTGCACCATCTATTTGGCCTCCCCAGAACACACACGCGCACACACACACACACACTCACACTCACACTCCACAACCTCACTAGATCCCTAGCTTAGCTGTCCTGGTTTCTCTAAAGCAAAGCCTTCACCATCAGAACCCACTCTTCTCCCATTCCAACTCCGGAAGTGCCTGCATCCCCTACTACAGGCAGAAAAACAAAGGATGCTAACTGGGAAAATGAGCAGGTGGTTTGTCAGTGAGAAAGCAAATAAATGCCAATGAGCTAATCCCCAAATGGTACAGCCTGCCCTAAGCAGAGACTCTGAAATGCCATTGTCTCTAGAAGTCTAAGAGACACCAAAGTTGCATTATTATAATATGAAACCATACTTAAATAGCCAGCACAAACTAGCATAAACCCCTCAAGAAACTGCACCTATTTAGCCTATGGCCATTTCAGCTCCAATCTCAAACTGAGACAGACGCTCTGCAAACCATCCCTCACTGGAAGATGTGAGCATGATTCACACTAACATGTAACATCCCCACGAATACTGAACAAAGGCAATGAGCTTGATAGCATTGGCCATGCTATACTAGCCCCGTGTAACCAGTTCTAGGCTGGGCTTCCCCCTGGGCACATGGTGCTGGGGCAACAGCAAGCCATGGCATTGTAGATTTTCCCTCTCCTACCGACTCACCTTGCCTTCTACCTTCTCTTCCTCATAGAATCTGAACACATTCTCATAGAAAATGAAACTTCAAGAGATGTTGGTAAGAGCAAAGCCCTTGGCACGTCTGTAATAGAGCACCCACAAGCTCCTCCAGTCATTTGATTGCATTTGCTACCATAACCCATGTGGGAGGCAGGGGAGGGCAGGAGACAAACAATGGGTTTCACCAGAAGGACCCAGCAAAAGAAAGAAAAATGAAAAGCTGACTTCCTTGGCATTAACCATGCAGGTAGTGTGTCATCCCAAACTGCTTTGTTCTGGTGCCCAAACATATTTCAGAGGATTCTGGAGGAGAAATGAATGCATCTGGCTTTGCAGATTATAATTCACAGATGCAATGGAACTCAGATTGACTAAGGCAAGTCCTGGCTTGAGACATAAGGACAGAGAGAGGAGTCCCAGGACAATGTGTTTAACAACTGAGTCTCTGGATGTGCCCCTTTGCGAGACAATAAGAGTGCTTTCTAGAAGCCTCTGACTCTGCTGCCTTCTGGAAGGCAGTGTATGTGTGCACATAATCCAGTTTGTAATTGACTCTGAGCAGCCTGGAGTCATCGATTTTCACTTCTCACTGACCAGATCCTACTGGACACACTCTCCCTGCACACAGTCACGGTGCCACCTAACATCCACTCTGTGGGATGCCACACATATAGCACACTTGGGTGGGCTCTTTGGGTGGTAATGACTTCTCTTTATTTACTTTGCTCTTAGATGCTGAACTCTTAACACCATTTCCTGGTGGTGAGTTAAGGTTTCCCAGCTCCTTGTGTGATGCGATTTGGCGGGTATCACATTTCTAACTAATAGGTAGATCTGTAGCCATACACACCTTACTGGATAGAACGACTTCACTAGAGAATTCCTGTGTATTCACCCTGTGTTGTTTGGTGTTTTGCTTACTGTGTTGAAGGAAGTTCTACCCTCTTCCCAGGTGTTTTTGGTCCAAGTAACTCCTTCCCGCTCCTCTCCAAACCTTGAGTCCATTACCATTTAGAAGAGACATCCCTGTCCCTACCATCCGTTACCCACTCCCAACCCATTATCCAAGCCCACTTTGCTCCTCACACTTGGCTTGCAGATCTTCATTTCATTCTACATTAAAATGACTCACTTTAGTAAAGTGGTAGTATGGCCAGTGGGAGCTGTCTTAAGGGTTAAATGCATCAGAGATGTCTCATAGTTCTCCCTGTGAATCCTAACTCAGCCAGGATGAGGCAGAATTCACCTTTGCTGCTAGACCCTGACCTCTGTGACAAGAAGGCTCATGTCCACCATGCTAATGACAGGATCCCCGTGCTGTCTACTCAGATGTGATACACGTATGAGTGCTTGGTGTTCTATTTAGGCTGGATCCTAGGAGACTCAAGCAGAGTAGCTTCTCTCCAGTAGTACTTTTGTACCTTTAAGACTGGCCACAGTTGCAGCTCACGAATGGGTCAGGACGATGCTCCGGGCGTGTAGAAGTTTACTACCGTGGCCAGTGGGGCAGAGTTTGCGATGACCAGTGGGACATACGTGAAGCCGACGTGGTGTGCCGACAGCTCAACTGTGGGCGTGCCCTCGAAGCCCCAGTTCAGTCACGATTTGGTGATGGTCCAGGGGAATTTCTGCTGGATGAGATGGACTGTACTGGGACAGAGAGTTTTTTAGGTCAGTGTCCTCATGCTGGCTGGCACCTTCATAACTGTGGTCCTGGAGAAGATGCCAGTGTCATCTGTGAAGGTAAGGGCCACCTCTCTCCCCAACAGTGCACATCTTGTGATCAAGATTGCACCTACACCAATGCCTCTGGCACCTTTGCCTCCACAGCTGCAATCACAAATTGACCCTGCTGCTTGGGGGGTATGTCAGATGTAAAGAGACACGCGTAATTTAAGTGCTCAGGGCTTGAGCTCAGGACTTTTAGACACCGGATGTTGACATGGATTTTATATAGAAAACATAGTGGCAGACATGGGAAGTTGCATCATAAGGGTTTCAAGACATCTCACAAAGAGACAACCTCTGAGTAACCCAGGAACAAATGCCACCAGATTGCCATTAGCTCTTTATTCCAACGGCCACTGAAATCTCAACCCCTACTCCCTACAGGAAATGGTGAGGAGCCCGTGGCAAGGCCTCAAGGTAGGAGGCATTTTCATGGGAAGCTCTTCTTCTTCTTTTTTTCTAGATTTTTTTATTGGATATTTTATTTACATTTCAGATGTAATTCCCTTCCCCCCCTCCAGGAACCCCCTCTCCCATCCCCCCTCCTGCTTCTATGAGAATATGCCCTTGCCCACCCTCCCACTCTCACCTCCCCACCCACAATTTCCCCCACACTGGGGCGTCCAGTCCACTGGACCAAGGACTTCCTCACCCACCTATGCCTGACAGCCATCCTCCCCTACACATATAGCTGGAGCCATGGGTCCCTCCCTATGTGCTCCCAGGCTGGTGGTTTAGGCCCTGGGAGCTCTGGTTGGTTGGTACTGTTGGTCTCCTCATCTTCTACTCCCCCTCATTCAACACTGACTCATTAACACTGGCTGAGCTGAGTTTGGAGAATGTGTGGTATACTCCATACTCAGTCACCACTCTGTCAGGACTTCGGCAGCAGAAGCTTTAGGTCCCATTTCTGCCACTTCATTAGTGGAAGTGACCTTAACAGGCCATTTATGTCCTTCTTAAAGAGGAGACAAAACAACTGTTTCACAGTAGTCCATCTGGGTTGAAGGTCACAGACTTGGGACAATGACAAGTAGGAACACACTGAAGTGTGTGATGGTTCTGGGGGACCGCTTTACCTGCAGAATCACCTCTTGTTTGAGTCTTAAGTTCAGAGGCCAGAACCCCTTTTGGAACACTTAAGTTTCACAAGCCAGATGCTGTCATGGTATTTTCTAAACATCTGCAGACAGTATATCAAACCAGCCTCAGGCAATCATGAACTCATGAGTTTTCTGATTCCATATAAAATTCCTCTTGAAAAAAAAAATCAGGTTCTGGAGCTGGATGATGGTTCAGTTGGTAAAAATTCCTCCTGCACAAGCATGAAGACCTAGCATGACTTTTTCATAAGAAACCTACCTATGAGTTGGTGCTTTTTAAATATCCATTTTACTGATAATAAAACAGAATCAGAAAATTAATTCAATTTCCCTGAATGACACCATTAGCTAGTCAGGGGGGCTGTGGAAGTTGGTTGGATGGTATTGTGTGTAATGTGGATTGGATGGGATCGTGTGTAGCTCGACTTTGGTGGAAGCTGATGCTGAGGGCAGTCTCAGTGCCCCTGCACAGTTAGTGTCCCTACACAGAAGAATTGGAGACCCTCCTTGTCTCTCTTTCTTCATTCTACTTAATAACCTCAGAAAATTCTGTCTCTACTTTCTTCCTGTTTATTATTGATCATTCCATTTGTTTACATCTCAAATGATACCCCACTTCCCAGTTACCCCTCCACAAACCCCACTCCCACATCCGCTCTCTCCCTCCTCCTCTTTGCCTCTATGAGGGTGCTCCTCCCACATCCTTTCCTGCCCCAGTATATGCTAAACTCTTCAGCATCTCTCAACCCTAGGACTGCCATCCTTCAGAGTCTTGTCATCTTTCTTCCTGGATGGCAACAGTGCTCTAAGCAGCCACCTACCTGTTACCATCCCACCATAAATTGTAAATTGCTTCACTTCCTAATGCTCAAAACCTCCCAAAGATTGCTCCATTGGTCCTCCCTCTCCTGCGTGCGTGTGCGTAACTATGCAAACCATGCAGTCAGGCTGGCCTGGAACTTAGAATGAATATATATGCCTCCCGAGATGAACTCATCGTCCAGGTGCTAGGATTAGATTAAAGGTATATACCACTCAAAGGCTCCCATGTATATCTCTAACCACTGAGGAAACACTTTATCCTGCATTAGATCTTCCTCTGACCTTTGTCCAGCTCCTAATAGACAAGGTAGTGTTGACTTAGGACCTGCCCCAACTCTTCCTTTGATCCCAAACACCCTTTACCCCTTCACATTTCCCCAGACTTCTCCTCATCATGTCTCAGATAAAATAGCACTCCCACAGAAAGAATTCCATTGAACACACAATGCAAACAGTCTTCCTCTCAGTCACATTCTATAGGGTCCATCTGTTTCCCTCCCAGCTGAGATGGTTTTTGTATTTTTGCTTTAATCCCTTGCTTATCCTCTGTTCTCCCCTCTCTCCAGGGTGGGAAATTGGTGAGAAAAGCTGTCTTCTCTTTATCTGAGAGCCAAGAGCAGCTCTGGTCAGCAAGAGACAGCTCATCTGTAGATACCTATGGAATGAAAAGAGACAGGCATATGTACAGCATTCTAATATGCGTCCTGAACCAATGGCAATAATCTCCTCTCGGCAAACCAAGCACAGAGCATTCCGTTATGCAGGATTTCCATTATCCTTCCAATGCCAAGAGGCTAAAGTTTAAACAATCAATTCCAGGAATTAGCTAAGAGCCAGTGGGCATTTTGTAGTTTTTCTTTCTATTTTCTTATATTTCTAATTTTCTGGTTTTGTTGTACACACACACACACACACACACACACACGTTTTACTACCAACCATTTGAAAACTGTAGCCATATATATATATGTGTGTGTGTGTGTGTATATATATATATATATATATATATATATATATAATTATGTTATATAGTTATATATACACATATATATTTATATGTAGTTATATACAAATGGTCTCTGCTTATGTTGCCTTGACCTGTGTTTTTGACTTCATGATTGTAAGAAAGCAACATGCATTAAACAGAACATATGCTTTGGTGCTTTGTATTTTAAATTTTATCTTTCCTCAGGTCAGCAGCATGTCATACAATCATTTTTCCTTATACTGAGCAGCCACAGGGAGTCACAGCAGCCAGTCAGCCATAGGACAGCATACAAAATGACTAGTATCTACAGGGTTCTGTGTTGCTAAAGTTTGATGTTTGGTAGATTACATGTACTAAATGCATTTGTCATGTTTTGTGGAGGTACGTGCATGTTCTCATGACTGGTATGTGTTTATGTGGACATGTATGTTTGGGCACATGCATGTGGATGACCACTGTAGATGTCCTTCCTCAGAACATCATTTCACTTTGCTTTTGAAACAGGGTTTCTTATTGGTTTAGAGTTCCCCTAGTAGGTTGGGCTAGCAGGCCAACAAACCTCAGAGATCTCTGCCTGTCTTTGCTTCCCCAGAGCTGGGTGACAAGCATGCACCACTACACAAAGCTTTTCATTTAGGATATTTTAGTCTAAGATATTTTGATTTATGGTCTTTTTTGGGATGTAATCACATTGTAAGTCAACATTAGTATATAATAATATGACATATACAATAACTATGATACATTATATAATCATTTTCTACAATTAAATTATTATAATATATTGTGTTATTATATGTGATATAATGTAACGTTCTTTAGAATAATTAATCATGTATAGAAAAGATTAATGGAATTGACGGTCCATTCAGCTCTGAGGGAAGCATGAGCTGGGACTATGTCTCAGTTGTGGACATTTCACCATCCTCTTACTTTGTGCCTAGTTGAGAACAACTTGTCTTGTCAAGAACAGACAAGTGGTCCTGAGTTATTCCAAAGAGCCACGCCTTAAGGCTTCACGATAGAAAATCTTCAAAGCAATCAACTCAGCAAATATTTCTCAGACCCTGCTAATCCCCAGAGTCTGCATTTGACCAAGAATTGATTTCCTATTTTGTATTTCAGCCCTATCACATTAGACTAATAAATACAGCAAGTAAAAGTCGCTCGACTGAGTTTAATAAGACATATCTTGATTTATTTGTATCACCAGGTGATGGAAATCTAGCCACCATATTATCAGGTAAGTGATTTATTATCATCACTGTTGTTGCCGTCTTCCCTGGGCACATCTGTTTGCCCATTTAAATCCGAGAGAGAAGATGCACAGTAGGCAGTCAGTTGTGTCCCTGAGAGATTCACCTTAACCTGCCCTGGATATTGAGTTTGTGTGAGAAAGATCTCCAGGGTGTTACTGCGTAGATTCACTAACTGCCTAAAAAGAGCTTATCTTACTTTTATTTTAGAAACCATTAGAAAATTTTTTCGTTATATGCATTTTATAATTAATTAATTAATTTATTGACCAATCAATTGCTCAGGGAATGTACAAACTTCTCAGTTTTGGTCAATGACATGTTTCAAGTTTTCTTTGGAGGAAGAGTCATTTCCTCACATCAGCCTATTGCATGAGTTTGCTATGACAGCTATAACAAACTGTCATAGGTTGATAACTTAAATAATGTAAGGGTTTTTGTTGTTGTTGTTGTTTTTTGTTTTTTTGTCTTGAAGTTCTAGAGGTCCTAAATCCAAAGCAAATTTCACTTAGCCAATAGCAAGGTGTCCTACAGGCTATGTCTATCCTTAAAGGTCTTGAAAAGGAAGGGCCATTTCTGGGTTAGTGTTTCTCATCACTGTGGCAGAATGCCTGACACAGTAAAAAGGAGGGGTTTCGTTTGGGTCACAGTTTTGAAGTATAATTCATCAAGGTAGAAACATTTCTCAGTTTCTTTCTTTGTTGCTGTGATACAATACTCTGACAGAAGCAATTTACGGGAGAAAGGGTTTCTTTTTTAGCTTACAGTTAACAATGTGGTTCATCATGGTGGGGAAATCAAGGCGACAGGAGCTTGGAGCAACTGGTTACATCACATCAATAATCAGGAAGCAGAGAGAGATGACCGCATGTTGCTGCTCAGCATCCTTTCTTCATGTACATAGTTCAGGATCCTAGCCTAGGGAGTGGTGTCCCCACAGTGGGCAGGTCTTCCCATCTCAATGATTGCAATTGTGATAACATCTCACAGGTCCATATCCCAGGTGAGTTTAGATTCTGTTAACAATTAACAGACAACAGTGTGACAACAGATAGTTTGATATCTGCCCCCAACACCTACACACTAGTACAAACTTAGAGACAAAGTGACACCTACAGATGAGTGACAATTACAGACATGAGTACAGTACCTACAGATAGTATGATGCCTACTGACAGTACAATGCAGGATAGGGAACACTGATTGGGTCTGGGGGTAGCAAGTCAGTGGCTAAGAGGTGGGTTAGCAGTTTTATCTCTTATGTGTTGGGCACTTCAGAGTCCAGGGAAGCTATACCATGTGAAGTCACAGGGAGCCCTGCATGCCCACTGCCCTTGATCACCATAAACACTTACTGTTAAATGCTTTTTCACTCCAGTTCTGCCTGCGGCCATCTCTACTCAGCCATCTTCTAAGCTTACCCCAAGTTCCCCCGCATCAGGTAGGACCCCATCACCACCATCACTGAATTTACTGCGGTTTCTCAGTTGTCTATGGTGGTGGGCAAAGGTTTTACAGCCACCAGCTACCAATAACGCTTTACCAGAGGTCATGTAATTTGAGGGAAATAGGACTGAGGTAGTCTGGACTCAACCCTGGCCAGCTTCACTTTATGTCTGTCTGTCTGTCTGTCTGTCTGTCTGTCTGTCTGTCTGTATTTACTGCCAAGAACGTTGGAAATCAAGGCTTCTTGTTTCCCTAAATGAGAAGCATAAGCTGAACAGATGCACCTGTGCTAGAGATAGAGAAATTACCAAAGGGTCACTTCATATGCTCAGAACTTAAAAAATAAAGTGGGGCACATGGCCAGTGTCTGAAATAGGAATATGCAATTTTTCCCAAACTGGTGAATTCCAGGCACACCTCTTCCTGGTTGTAGTGTGCAGGAGTCACCATTACTGTCCAACCTCATTTATCACAGTTGATGCTCTCTCACCATCTGTAGCAAATGGCATGTCAATAGTACAATTGCATTCGTCATTGTATGGCAAAGCTGGTGAAAAGTAGCCTTCTGCAGAATTCCTGTGGCTTCTGAGTGCTGGAAACACAGCTAGAGGGACTGAGGTGTGCTGTGTATACTAAGAACACACTGGGTCTTTGATGACTTGGGGAAGTGGGACACTGATGTCCAGCAGGCTTCAAGCTTCTGTAGCAACATGAGTGAGTTCTAGAGAGCTACAGGATGTTAACACAGTATTGCTCACTTAAAAATTCTTGCTACACACATACACAGGACACAAGGAAACTTGGAGGCAGGAGATAGATTCATTCTCTTGATTATGGTGATGCTTACACAGATATATTTTGGATCCTGATTTATCAGTCTGCATACACTGAAATCAGGTGCTGGTTTTTAGCATATAAATTATACCTCAATGAAATTATTTTTCTAAAAAGTTACTTAGGGCCTGGGAAGATGGCTCAGTGGGTACAAGCATATTCTATGTAAATATCAGGAGCTGAATTCAGACCCCCAGCACCTACATCAGTAGCTGAATATAGTCACATATGCCTGCATGACTCCAGAGGTGTGTGGTGGAGAGAAGAAGCAGAGATAGGATGATCTCTGGGACTTGCTGGCTGTTATTCTACCCCCCATGTTCAGTGGGAGATCTAGTCTCAAAGGAATAAGGCAGAGAGTGACAGAGCAGAACACTAGATGCCCTCCTCTGGCCTCTTTATACATACATGTGCATATCACACACACACACACGCACACACACACACACACACACATATCACTAGCACACAGACATAGACTCACATACACACATACAAAAAATTTTTAAAAGAGCACTATAAAAAGAATGCTGACCTTTTATATTAATTGCTTATTTAAATGATAATACTTTAGTTATGTTACGCTATATAAGATCATTAAAAATAAATTCTTCTTGTCTCATTTCTTTTTTTGAACCGTGGTTATCAGAAATTTTAAACTAAATTCGTGGCTCCTGCCTAATTCTATTAGATAGCATTATCTTATGACTTTTCATCCATGAGGTCGAATGTTTTTGGTGCGTTTTCTTCTCTGAGTTTCCCAACAGCTGTATGAGAAGCCTCTTTAGTCCTCTTTCCAGCTGATGAGACTCATGCTCAAATAGGTTTCATATTGTCATCAAGTCCCATGAAATGATAACACAGACAGTCCTAAGACCGTGGTCTCCAAAGCACCATGAACTAGAGTAAACCCCATGATCATTCTGTTAACTACTTGCCACTGGACCAGGCAGGCTGCCTGTTCAGGAACTCAGAGGATCCTTCTGAGATGAGGGGAGTTAGGATCAAGGGGTTCATCACTGAGCAGATCCTGAATGTTCTCACTCTGGTCCCTTTGCTAAACTCACATGCTCATCACCTTTGATGGCTGCAGATTCCAATGTGCTCTTACCGTTAATCTGTATTTCTCTAACAGGCAATATGAATCCACTTGTTTTCCTGATGATGTTTCTTGGGTACAAAGCCTTAATCTTCTTCTGGATATATTCTCTCTCTCTCTCTCTCTCTCTCTCTCTCTCTCTCTCTCTCTCTCTCTCACACACACACACACACACACACACACACACACACACACACACACACACACGGGGGTGGGGAGAGAGAGAGAGAGAGAGAGAGAGAGAGAGAGAGAGAGAGAGAGAGAGAGAGAGAGAGAGATTAAAAACCAAAGGACCAGCGTGACCTAGATGGCCAAATATGCATGAAGTTAGCTACACCAGATAGCAAGCAGGACTTCATTTTAGTGAAAGAGAGCAGCCTCCTTCTAGAAGAAGCTGGGGAGAGTAGAAGGCAGGGCAGAGAAGAAGATACCTGTGGTGGGAGATGCGGCTGAAGGGGAAGGTATGGGTGTGCATGTGACCTTCTGAAGTTTACAATGGTGGTCTAGAGAGTGGGGAGGCAATGAGGCCCAGCCAAAGGGACTGTGGTCTGGGCTGACACTTAGAGGGCAGATACTTCAGGGAGAGCCTAGACTGTGGGGTTAAAAGGCATCCAGGTCCCCAAGTTGGGCATGGTCCTCCAAAACTACCTGAGAGTTCCAAACTCTGGAGGAAGGGAACACCAGATACTGAACAAGTGGAGGAAGAGTTTTCCTTGTCTTGGAGATGTCCCCAAACCCCTCATTTGCCATGAGCCCTGGTGACAAGAAGCTCCAAGGTGAACAGCAACAACTCATGATGATGGGGTGAGGAAGTTCTCCTCAGAATGTCTGTCCTAGTCTATTTGATTCTAAAACAAAACATCACAGTTGAATGGCTAAAAATAACAAAGTTATCTCTCCTGGCCTTGGAGCCTGGGAGATCCAACCTAACTCAGTGCAGGTGAGGGCCCCTTCCTCACCTTCTAAATGTGTTTCATAGACGAAAGGGTGAGGGGTTCTTTCCTAAGGATCCCAGTCCCTCAGATCCTTGTCGGCTCCGAAGGCCCTATTCAACCCCACTGTGTGGAAAGTAGGATTTCTACAAGCTCTCACCAATGGAACCCTCTCTCCAGCTCCTCATCTTTGTTTATGTTTGGAGGTGCTCAGGCTAGGCAGGTCCCCAATTTCTGAGCAGCAGGCACCCAGCTTTGTTTTGTTTTGAGAAGAGGAAGGCATCAAAGTTCTTGGACCTAGTAAGCAGAGCATTTAGTGAAGAGCCTGGTGCACAGCAGGTGCCCTATTGTGTGGTCTGGTTTCATGGAGTGCCTCTGCTCTCAAGCAGATAAGCAGATGAAGTGCCATTCCCTGATACTAGTCTCAGCCACCTGTCCCTTCTCCCTCAACCACTGCCATCCACCAGCTTGCTTTTTTCCCCCTCTATGCTTTTATTTGCCTATTCTGGATATTTCATGTAAATAGAACCACAGGAAAACCCAGTGTCTTCATGTCCAGGATAATATCATCAAGGCTGTGTAAATTAATATGATTAATATTCTGTATATATTCATTAGCACTGGAAACAAATATGGCAGCAATTATTTCTTAACCTGTTAGTTTGCCAAAGAACCACGTAGAAACTTTTTAATTTTTCCAAGTTTAGGCCTTAGCTGGGCAGACTCTCAACTAGGTCATCTAGTCAACCTGACCACTGAGCCCCATCCAGCCATGTGGCTAGATACCTTTCAGGCCGGTAGTTACATCTGTCTCCTCTCATGTCTCCTAGCGAAACGACTTTCTTTCTTCTTCCCAGAGTTCCTTTCTCTCCCTCCCTAGGAAGTTCCCCCAGCTTGCTTTTCTCCTCTATGCTTTTATTTGCCTATTCTGGATATTTCATGTAAATAGAGCCACAGAAAATCCAGTGTATTCATCCACAGCATAATATCTTCAAGGCTGTGTAAATTAATATGATTAATATTCTATATTATTGGGTACTTCCTGCCCAGCTAATTGGCCATCATATTTTTATTAAAGCAAATCAGAGAATGCCTTAGGTTGACGAGGAAGGACAGAGACAGAGTTTCACAAAGCATACCCCAACAAGGCTGTGTGGTTCCTTTTACAATTTTTGAATGGGAAAGTAATCAATTCCTTCCCAGGAAACTTGAAACAGGCAAAAATCCTCTTCTTTCTATTCCATATTAAGCACCCCAAGTCAGTTTCCTTGTATGGTTTCTCCAATAGCTCTTCCAGGTTTCCACATTTCAGAAGACATAACACCCAACCACACCATCAGGTAGGTCAATGAGTTGTGAATTAAAACAACAAAACTTGGATGTGGTACACAGCACATGCCATGCCCAGCATTCTAGGCCTGTAGAGCGAATGGGCCGATGCTCAGGCATGGGGCAGAGGCACTGCCAAGGGATACAGGAGAATCGTGGTGCTCAGTGTCTCCTGCAGTGGTACGCCTTAACCCGCCAAGAGGGGTCTTCGTCTGTTCTGATCATTATCCTTATGTCCCTACACAGTGTTTGTCACATGTTAGATACCAAAGCAGGGTTTGCTGAACAAGTAAAAGACAGTATACATTGAATGTGTGAGTAGAAAAGACTTTTGTCCCCTCTTGACAGACCTTGGGTTTTGGCCCCAATTCCCGCTAGACAGTGGGACACAGAAGCAAGCCATTTTGTAAAATGATGGGAACCTCATTTGTACAATTCCTTCTTCAGAGAGTGGTGTTGACATTTTGCGTGTGAACAAATGAATGGAGCATGTTGCTTCTGGAATGTGGTGTGTGTGTGTATGTGTGTTTGCGCACGTGCATGTGTGTGTGGTGTATTTTGCCATCATTGGATGGTGAGAAGTTGCCAACTTCTCACCATCATTGGATGGTGAGAAGTTGCTCTATCAGGTAAGAGCAGCACGTTCATCCTGAGTCCTGTGTGTGCAGCCTCACCATCTAGATGAAAGGTAAAGCAGTCAAGCCAAGGTTGTACACCATCCTCTGGGGTCAATGAAGACAACCAATATCCCTATGGATGCCTTTCATACCATTGGTCCAGTTTTTCAATCACTGACCTTATTAACAGCAAACAACCTCATGTAGAACTTGGACAGGGTGACTTGGAAGGAAACATTTTGGTCTGCAGGGTCTTGCTGGGTAGACTTCTGTCAGCCTTCAGAACTTGACTCAGGTTTCACTGAACGAATCCAGCAGTTTATGAGTCAAGGTGCACGGGTTAAGGCAAGATCAAGTTGCCTTGCCAGCTGCTAGCTGAGCCCCTTTCCAATGTGCTGTGTGTTGTTTTAAGAAAAGACCTTCCATTCTGACCCTCCCCACCCTTTCCATATTATTCCAGTTCTACCTGTGGCTGACTCAATACCTGGAAGTCAAAGAGCACATGTGCCCAGGCTCAGCCTCAAAGGTAAGAGAGCTTCCTGTGATCCACAGGTGGGGATCACCAGTAGGAGCTGGGGCGGAAGTGAGTGGGCAACTATCCAGTTGCTGAAGCACAGGAAGAAGCACCACAGTGAGAGAGGACTCACCATCCTCCAGACCTGGATTAGTTGGTCCTCCCAGTGGACTTTGGCTCCTGTAACCTTTATATTCCTGCTCTTCTAGGGAAATGTTGTAAAGTTTAGAACACACACACACACACACACACCCCAAAACTGTGCCATTATCAAGACATTATTAATGCCTATGTCTTATATTACTAGTTTCCGTTTTTACCATGAAGTGAATCATTTAAAGGGGATCTTTCCACCCCACTGGATAGTTTTCATAGTTCTGGAAGATACTCTGCATGCTAGTGGGAAATAAAAGTAGTTGAAAGTTAAACATAGATGTGAATTCTGTGAGCTACAGTAACAATTGGCCTGGCAAGATATGCCTACTGATGCAGTAATGGTGGAAAGCTTATAGGAGCAACCTACCACGTTCTCCATAGGCTTAATGCCTATCCACAAGGTGGACCTCATGCCTAGAACCACTGAGAGTTAAACAAAAACAAATAAAAAATGTGAGACTGTCTATGTCATAGGTCCTAGGGGAGAAATGACTACTACTGCTGCCACTACTATTACTACTAGTACCACCATTGTTAACATTAATATTATTGTTACATAGTAATAAACCGTCTCCTAAGTTCTTATCTTTATACCTATATGTTTAATCTTCAAATCCTCACCAAAGAAGCTTCCTTTTATAGTAGGTAACAATAGAGACCCGCAACTGTCAATGTGTAGAGGGTAAGGGACTGTGGAGTGGCCAGATCTAAATGGTACAGCTATATCACACTCCCTCTACATAGAGTTTCAGTGATCATTGTAGAAGACGGACCGTAAAGACTGTAAGCACCAGAGGTAGCAGATAACACAAAACAGCACTTGCTGGGCATGACAGTGCTATTGCACACACGGGCTCAGCGGATTTGAGTGCTTGTACAAGACCTAAGTAAGACCAAGTCAGGAACAAGCCTAGCATGGATGGGAGAGGGGCTGGCAAAGTTCCAACCCTGTCTGAGTAGCTGCTGGTAACTAATGGAAGCTGGGGGAGGGAGCAGAGTTGATTTTCTTCAGCAATGTGGTCATTGTGAAGGTAACCATGCTCCAGTGGATTGACCTACAGCCATACAGAATGTGTGTGTGTGTGTGTGTGTGTGTGTGAGAGAGAGAGAGAGAGAGAGAGAGAGAGAGAGAGAGAGAGAGAATATCAATAGCATATCAATAATATAGATCAATATATTATTAAATATATATGATAAATAAATTGATAGAGAGCATTGAAATTAGGAGAGAAAAGTGATGGGGATATTTAGAAAGAACTGGAGGGTAGAGAAAGGGGGTGGTTTGATCATAACACATTATGTGCATGCATAAAATTTTCAAACCAAGAAAGCCTCCAGGACTAGGACCACAGCTCAGTGGTGGAGTGTTTGCTACTAAGTGTGAGGCCCTGGATTCTATAGTTTGTGGGTTTGCTTTAATACAAATTTCACACACACACACACACACACACACACACACACACACACACACACGTATATATGTATGTGTATGTATGTACATATGTATGTATATGTGTGTATGTATGTGTTTTAGATAATATGTATATCATACCATAATGTTTTTTAAAGACAGTTGCTATTTTAGACTAATTGATGAGAGAGAGAGAGAGAGAGAGAGAGAGAGAGAGAGAGAGAGAGAGAGGACAAGCTGCTCCGGTTACCTTGGGAAATATTTCACATAGTGAAATCAGTTTCCCCAGATTTTCATGTCTCCCTTGCTGAAGTCAGTGTAAAGCACTATTGATGAGAAGCAGATGCTCCATCACCTAACTGACTTGCTTAGAGACTAACAAAGAAAACAGCTCGTGAAATTATTAGTGTATACTTTCTGCCTGCAATGGTCTTATGCAGCTGAGGTGCTGGAGTGACTCACTCTGGCTCGTAAGCTAGGCAAGTAGGCAAGTTCAATGGAAAGTTTCCGTTTGCCTTCTTTTTCTCTTCAGAAGCCTGTTATAGGCTGAGGCTAATGAATGGCTCTGAAGGATGATCTGGGTGGCTGAGGTTTCCTCTTAGGGCACCTGCAGGGGTCTGTGTGTGATGATAGCTGGGACCTGCTAGGGGCACAGGTCATGTGTAGGTGGCTCATGTGCAGTCCTGCTAAATCGATTCCCTCAGCTCCCTCTTCAGCCAGGGATTTGGGAAGAACCTGCCAGACAGATAACATGTGCAGAGTTGGCACAGAGAGCCACCTGGTCCCACGTGCCCACAGCAGCTTGTTCACACACTGATGGATGGTAACAGAGCCCTCTGCCCTGGTAAGGGCGTCTTTCTGTATTCCAAGAGCTCTACCCAGCTGAGTGGTCAGTGACTTGCTCCTGGGAGAGCTGATGCCTTCTCTTGTTGCTCTTAACAGGCTCTCTAACAGCAGCAATACCCTCCCTCCCTCCTTCCCTCCCTCTCTCCCTCCTTCCCTCCCTCCCTCCCTCCCTCTCTCCCTCTCTCTCTCCCTCCCCCTCCTCTCTCTGCCCCTCAGATAGCACTGGTTTCTGCATCTCTTCTACACTGACTTCTGTCTCTTTGGTTTATTCTGTGTAGTGAATATGGCATGAGAAAGAACACATTGAATCAGGGTTTTAACAATCTACAGAATGATCTGGTTTGAAAGCTGGTTGGAGTGATCTACCATTAAAGCTGCTTAAATCTCAGCACTCCTTAACAGATAGGTTAAGAGCACAGACCTCTGTGTTGAGTGCTGTCTCTTTCTCCTGCCCCATTCCAGGAAGTGTATCCTATGGACTAGCCTCTCTTCTGGGCAGCTTCCCTGGGGTGATTCTAGACATCTTTGAAGCATGTCATTTGGTACAATGCTCCCCAGAAGAACATGGACAGTGAAAAAGTGGGGGGTGAGAGCTCTGCTTCTAGCCTCCTAGAGGGCAGAGCCTCTGTGATCTGATCATAATCCCCAAGTAGCTACAGACAAGGTGAGTCTTCTGTGGCTACTGAAGAACAGAGATCCCTGGCTTTGAGATATACTCTACGGTAACTGGGAACAGCAGGGATCTCAAGGTGCAAAATTTGACATTTTTACTACATTGTGTGCCTGTGTGTGTGCATGTACGTTGCATATGTGTGTGCATGGGCATGTGTGCGTGCACTTGTGTGTGTGTGTGTGTGCATGCGTGCGTGTGTACATGCCACAGTGCATGTGTAGAGGACAGAGGACGACTTTCAGAAGCCAGTTCTCTCCTTTCACCAAGTGAGACCCATGGATTGAACTCAGCTTGTCAGGCTTGGCTGCAAACGCTACCTACTGAGCCACCTCATCAGTCCACAAGTGCTTATGGGAGTATAAATGACTATTCTCCAGAGATGTTGGATCAGAAATAATATCTTTGAAGTCTGTCAAGGGACAGCAGCAATTGAAATATTTTGTGTGTACATGATTTCAGAGTATCTTACCCACTCAGAAACAGCATGAGGTCATTTCACCACACCTCCCCCACCCCTTATTGTAGTGCAGTGCTTTTCAAACTTTATGGGACATCAGAACCACAAGGAAGGCCTACTAAAACATGGGTCACTGGGTGACCTCAGCATTTCTCAGCAGGTTTAGGGGAGATCGAATGATTTGTGTCTTAGTTACTGTTCTATTGCTGTGAAGAGATACTGTGGCCAAGATAACTCTTACAGTTAGTACATGGTCATCATCATGGCAGGAAGCAGGCAGACATGATGCTGGAGCAATAGCTAAAGTTTTACATCCTGATGCAGAGGAAGCAGACAGAGAAACAGACATTGGGCCTGGCACCAGCTTTTAACACCTCAAAGCCCACTCCAGTGGTACATTTCCACCAAAGCCACATCTGCTTTAGGAAGTCCACACTTTCTAATCCTTCGCAAACAGTTTCACTTCCTGGTGACGAAACGTTCAAACATATGAGCATACACAGGGCTTTCTCATTCAAAGAACCACAGTTTTCTACCTGATAAGTCTAGTGAGTTTATGATGCTGCTTTTGGGGCCACACTCAGGAAATCTCTGTCTTAAAACATAATTAAAGCAGAATATTTCCATCCTTAAAAATAGGCACAGAAATATCACCTGCACCATTGTTACCTCCATCACTATTATCATCAAAGCCATCTGTCTGTCTGTTTGTCTGTCTGTCTGTCTTCTATCATCATCATCATCATCCCCACCCTCAAAAATGAGTCTCCTCAGTAAGTCAAATTTTGTGGCTTGCTTGTTTCATCATTCATGTTTCATAACTATGCATATGCAGTGCTTAATTGGTAGCTACTGTGTTGGACACTTTCTTGTTGCTATGATGATGAAGTGACTCAGAAAATAGTTAAGAGAGAAAAGCTTTATTTGGGCTCAAAGTGAACAGGCTCCATTGCTTTAGAACTTGTGGCAAGAGGCAGGACATCATAGTAGCAGAGCACAGTTGCTCACCTCAGTGTGTCTAGGAAGAGAAGGTCCAGATGGTACAGAAGCAGGGACATGGGTGCCCTTCGGTGAAACACCTCCAGTGAGTTACCACCCTTAACCAGGTTCTAGCTCCTCACGGTCCACTTGGCTGTGAATTCATCAATGGATTTTTCCACCAGGAAATTAAACTTCTCATGACACAACCACTTCTCAAAAGCCCACCAGCCAAGCAAGCAGGCTTTAACACATGAGCCTTCAAGCAGACGCTTTTTAGATTCGAATCATAGCTTTGTGGATTCAAGGGCACTGAGGGTTCCAATCATGGTCTCCTTTTCATGTCATAGATACTGTGATCCAAGCCTTCACTGCCCCTTCCATTCTGGGTGACAACAGGCTTTTCCTACCCGCATTCAGTGTCTATGCCCCCTGCATTCAGCCCCATGCTTACATGAAGTCAGTTGTTATCTTTCATCATAAGTCAGCTCCAACAAGGTATAATCTACCTACAGCAAAAGTTACCACGTGCTTCAGTGAATTGTAATAGTTACCATATTTAAGATAGATAATGTTTGTGGTAGGAGAGAAGGCTCGGGGATTAAGAGTGCTTGCTGTTCTTATGGAAGACGTAAGATACTACATCACATCATCACATTTTATAATTCTCTGTTTTGTTTTTCTCTTTGCTTGTTTGTTTTTTGAGTCAGGCTTTCACTACCTAGCCCTGGCTGCTCTGGAACTCTGTACCCAGCAGGCTGGTTTCTAAGACTGGTAAATGTTGCTCTAGGTAGATTATACCTCAATAGAGATCTGCATGTCTGGACATTAAGAACTTGCTCCATCACACCTAGCTGTGCTAGGATTCTTTACTTGTATAATGCTTAACAAGTTATCCAAGCAATTCCTTGTATCTATCCTTTATATTGGTAATATTAATGATTTCTTTATTATTCTAATTCGCTCTTTCTATTTCTAAGTGCTAGTTCATTATATGGGCATGCCAAAATTAATCTGCTCATAATTTATGGATGTCAAATTTGTTATTGATTTTCATTGATATGAATAAAGCCACCATAAATGTTCAAGAATTTGAGAGCAGTGTTCCAACGTGAATGTTGAGTTGCCGCCTACATATGATAGAGTTGTTGTAAATCCTTGTCAACATGTTGTAATGTTGACATTTTAAGTTTGGTCTTTATGGGATCTTCATGGTACACTCTAAGCAGCCTTAGTGCTGGTGGCTCTGGTTTCTGCTATGATGGCAGAGTCTAGGGCTACAGAAGCGTCACACACACTCCTGGGTTGGTCCAATTCTCAGGTTGTTTGCTTGAGGTAACTCATTTTGTGAGCTCATAGTAGATCTACCTGGGCTAGGAGAGTAAAGGACATGCTAATTATAGTCAAAGGGATGTATCATTTAAGCAGAGACGGGGATATTCTGGGACCTATATTGCATCAAATGAGTTCTATCTAGAGCTCTTTGCTGCTGTTTTCTAAAGGTTATTTAGGAAATGTCAATGGTCTCCAAATAATTTATAAGCTCTAATCCAGTTCATGAAGGGCCAGCATTTTCTGGTGTGAGGCTGTAACTTTCCCTGGATGTCAATGCTGTTATAGCTTCTCAATACTATTTCACTCCTAGTCCACAAGTTATTGAGGTTACAGTGTAAACACCACTCCAGCCTCTCATGCTGATTTCCTTCTCCCACAGGTGCTGACAGGTCACCAGACCTCACTCCAGTAATAGATCCTGAGTCATTCAAGCCATCAGGTTGGTGGTTTTGCTTTGTGGCTGTCCCTCCTGAGGATGTCCCTTTTGTAAATGAGTGTAGCAAGACCTTGGCACTGCATTGGGTTCTAGTTCCCTTTCCGTGGCTGTGAGAAAACATTCTGACCAAAAGCAACTTAAGGGAGAAGGGAACTTACTCCAGTGTATAGGTTATGGTTCGTCACTGAAGGCAGGCAGGGCAGGAGATCCTGGAAAACAGAAATCAAGGCTGTTTGCTGCCTTGGCCAAGATCATGCTTAGGTTGCTTTCTTAGAAAACCTAGGGCCACCTGCTCAGCTCATGGAGTGGTTCCTCCCACCGGGACTAGCTTCTCTTATATCAAATTGTAATAATCTAGACAATCCCCACCTCCAGACATACCCACAAGCTAATCCTATCTAGGCCATTTTAAATTGAGGCTTCTCTTTTTAAAGGGTTGTAGGCTGCATCAAGTTTGCAGTTAAGCTAAGTATGACACATGGCGTCCATACCATTAACTCTTTCAAATGGGTTTTGAATGGTACCCTCACAGCAAGCCATCTTGTCATGTGTCACAATTCCTCTGTCATGGCTGAGTCTCCCCAGGCGTAGAAGAGTTTATAGCCATTCTACACACCACACAGGAAGTCATCTACACTTCTTATGTAAATGCTGAGATTGGCTGAATAAAGTCACATGGGGGATGTTTAAGTTAAGTTGTCTACAAACAGTTGAGGGGGCTTGGTACATTGGAATAAAATCACTTAGGGCTGAATTAATATTTCCAAGTGACCTTGAGGGAGATCAACAATGCTCTAGAAAGTGCCCAGAGAGTCAAGCAAAGGTAGATATTCGTGTCACCTTTCCATAGCAATGCCCTCTTGAGTTTAGAATTTGCAAAGCGAAGAAGTACCCAAGTAAGAGGCCAAACGACAGAGATCAGGTGACAACCAGCAGCTCTGCCTTGCTGATATTTAACAGATGACAGGAGCTCCGTGAAAACCATTTCCACCACTGTGACAGAATACTCAAGGCAGGACAGAGATGCCCCACTCCCCAGACATCCACAACCGCCAGCTGATTCTGTGCATAGTAACAGTAAAATTGGTTTTACACGGAACCATGTAGGCCAGAGAATCAACACATGATAGTTCCTTTTTCTATCTAACTGAACTTAAGCAATCTATTTGAGGGCTTAACCATTGTTTGTTTAGTTGGTTGGTTGGTTTATATCCTGACCACAGTTTACCTTCTCCCCCCAGTCTGTCTCCCCACCCCTCCCAATCCCATCCACTCCTTTTCTGTTTCTCTTCAGAAAAGGGAAGGCCTGCCATGGATATAAACCAGTCCTGGCATATCAAGTTGAAGTAAGACTATGTACATCCTTTCCTATTAAGGCTAAATAAGGCAATTCAGTAGGATGAAAGGATCCCAAAGGCAGGCAACAGAGTCAGAGACAGCCCCTGTTCCCACTGTTAGGAGTCCCATATGAAAACCAAACCATATACTGTAATATGTGTGCAGAGAACCTAAGTCAGTCCCATGCAGGTTCCCTGGTTGGCAGTTCAGTCTCTGTGAGTCCCTATGGACCCAGGCTAGTTGATTCTGTGGATATTCTTGTAGTGTCCTTGACCCCTGTGGCTCTGATATTCCTTCTTCTCCCTCCTCTATAGGATTCTCCAAATTCCACCTAATGTTTGGCTGTGGGGCTTTGCATCAATTTCCATCAGTCGCTGGGTGAAGCCTCTCTGATGACAGTTATACTAGGCTCCTGTCTACAAGTATAGTAGAGTATCATTAGCAGTGTCAGGGTGGGATGCCTCTTCATGGCATGGGTTTCAACCTGAATTAGTCATTAGTCTGCTCCCTCAATTTCTGTGCCATCGTTATCCCAGCACATCTTGTAGGCAGGACAAATTACAGGTCAAAAGTGTCATGGCTGCCTTGGTGTCCCAGTCTCATTGGAAGTCCTGTCTAGTTACAGGAGATGGCCGGTTCAGGCTCCATGTCCCCCATTGCTAGGAGTCTTAGCTAGGGTCACCCTCATGGATTCCTGGGAGTTTCCGTTGCCCTAGTTTTCTAGCTCATTCCTGAGATGTTCACCCCCAACTTCAGTTGTCTCTCCCAGTACTCTCTCCCTCTATCCTATTCACACCTGATCTCTCATGTTCCCACCACAACCACTCAGTCCCCTCCCCCCGCAAGATGTCTTTCCCCTCCTCCATGAGATTCACATGCCGCCCCCCCGCCCAGCCTTCCTTTTTACTTAGTTTCTTTGAGTCTGTGGATTGTAGCATGGCTATCCTTTATCTATTTTACAGCTAATATCCACTTACAAGTGAGTACATACCATGTTTGCTTATCTGGGTCTGTATCACCTCACTCAGGATGATCTTCTCTAGTACCATCCATTTGCCTGCAAATTTCATGATGTCATTGTTTTTAGAAGTTGAGTAATACTCCATTGTACAAATGTACCACATTTGTTTATCCATTCCTTGGTTGAGGTACATGTGGGTCATTTCCAATTTCTGGCTATTGCGAATAAAGCTGCTACATAGTTGAGCTGAACATTGCTGAACATAATGAGCAAATGTTCTTATGGCATGGTGGAAAATCGTTTGGGTATATGCCCAGGAGTAGTAGAGCAGGGACTTGAGGTAGAACTATTTCCAATTTTCTGAGAAACCACCAAATTGATTTCTAAAGTGGTTGTTTAAGTTTGCACTTCCACCAGCAATGGAAGGGTGTTCCCTGCCGGGAGCCATCCCTGGCTTGGTGGGAGGAGAATGTGCTTCTTCTTTCTTCTCCTCCAGTCAGTTCTTCTTGAGGTAGCTGAGGGGGATAGGAAGAGCGTTGCCAGTGGGTAAGACCTAAGGCTAGGCTGCTGTAGCTGGCCTGCCCTCTGTTTGACCCTCTGAGGCCAGAAACTGCAGTTTCTGGCCACTAGCACCTCAGCCCAGGGACAGCAGAGAATTAAGTAAATAGCCTTATAGTACTCTCTCTGCAGGTGCTGCTAGGCTCTAACTTAAGTCTCTTAGTTTGAGGTCGCAGGAAGAAAAGACACTTAGAGAAGTTGTTACAGTTTATTGCTAAGTGTAAAAAGTTTCCTATGAAGGCTATCTAAGAGAAAAGATGGAGCCAGGCGGTGGTGGCGCATGCCTGTAATCCCAGCACTTGGGAGGCAGAGGCAGGCGGATTTCTGAGTTCGAGGCCAGCCTGGTCTACAGAGTGAGTTCCAGGACAGCCAGGGCTACACAGAGAAACCCTGTCTCAAAAAAACCAAAAGAGAGAGAGAGAGAGAGAGAGAGAGAGAGAGAGAGAGAGAGAGAGAGAGAGAGAGAGAGA